CATGTATGATACTATAGAAAAATTAAACCACGCAGACTGGATAACATCAGTTGGGCTTTGAATTGGTACCTTCAGATAGCAAAGTTGTCCTTTTATACGTGATAATGAGGTCAAGGCCAGAAACTTATCGCTAGAATTTTCAGCGCTAGCTGCATCCAGAGTAAGGACGAACAATTGAACCTAAGGTAGGTGTTGCCTTGTCAACATTGATAAACATTAATCTAAATACAGTAACACATAATTATAGTACTTTTCAACAAACTTTAGTACCTTAAAGCAGATAGAACGCAAACACCAGAAACTCTTAACAATTTGATGTTAAAATAAGAGACCAAAGAATTGAAGAGCTTCATTTATCAAACTTGGCTCAAACCAAAAACCAATTGCAGAGGAACATGAAGGGATTAAATACCTCAATAATGTAAAAATAACGCAGTAATTATGGTTATTTGATTGGAGTCCAAACCACGTACCATGTTGAACACTACGGGAAGACAACTTTTACTTTGTTTTCTTCTCTCATTTTCTCTCTCCGCATATCGAAGATCCAAACAAAGCATATGTAGAAGCTCACACAGATTTTACATCTAAGTCTTACCTCTGTTGCCCTTGAAGTGGAAGGCACGGAAGCAGAATCAACAGCACAAAGCTCATCCATAGATATGCTCGTGGATGCCTCAGTACTTTCAGAATCACTAAAGCTTGCAGAGTCTAAGAATTGCTTCCGAACAGGCTGCTTGCTACTACTGCCAGATGTTAACACTTGTCCTTTAATATTCCTCAACTCTGCCCCCAATAAACTTTCGTACAGTCCAAATAGTCAAGGGTTAAAGTGAAGACAAATCCAAGATCCAAACACAGCATAAGTATAAAGACATTGTAACTGTGGCTGAAGTAAATAAGAACTAGATATAGAAGGATTGAAAATCCTATGAAAACATCTCAAACAACAAAAATAGAACAACCGGATATAGAAGAGCAAGTTTTACATGAAATCAAGTTGATCTGTTGTTTCATGCAAAAATGACCTTAGTTGAAAATCCTATCCAAACATCTCAAACAACAAAGATAGACAAACAATAGAATAATCTAAAGGAAAGTACCTCAGTTCTTTGTTTCCAGCATAATGTACCTCTTATCTGGTTTCATATAATCATGAGCAAACATGATAAATTCTCTCATCCCATCAATGTATCGAGGTGACCTTCTATTATGAAGTTGCATCCAACTCCTATCCATGGTGCAAAAGAACTAAAGAAGAAAGAGAAGAAGAAAAAAAAAAAAGAAGTAATAAATGTACTGAACTAGGAGGGGATAAAGAACATAACATGCTTAAAAAATAGGATATACTAAAAATAGGAAATATGATACTACAACTGGATGTCAATCAATAATAAATAATTAAAATAAATAAGTCATTAACATTTAAACATAACACCAACAAAATAAAACATTGTTTAATACAAACCAATACAAATTAAATCCAACTCAAGCTAAAATATAACCAATACAAATTAAATTCAACTCAAGTCTTGTGCTTGGCCAAAGCAATTCAATCCTTTTTCATTATAACCTTGTTGATTTTGTGCTATTATGCCTCTACCTCTGTAAATTCTTATGGTCTATAAGGCCCTTATTAAAATCTCCGTAAAAATAAGATCGACAAATGGGGACGAATATTAATTTTTGTTTTTTTACGCTCTTTTTTTATTTTTTTTAATTCACAAATGGGTCCTTTTATTTTGATTTAAACTGTAGTAATATACATTAATTTTTTTATTTAAATTCAATTATAAATAAATAAAAATAAAAAATCCCTAGAGTTATATTTCATTAATATTTTTTTTCAAACTTATTATGAATTTTAACAACATATGCAAATTTTCTGATTTGGATTCCAATCTCCAAGATCTCAATACCAGTAACTCTCTCTAAAAATCATCTTGTTACCAATCAGGCCCTTACAAAAAAATAAAAAAAAATAAAAAAATCCAGGATTTCATTTCCAGCTCTAAGATGCAAGTAGATGAACACTCAGATCTTTTGTTATTAATAAACTACCCCACTATCCCACAACAAAAGTTAACAAAACAATCATTTGGGCCCTCAAAATTTCACTAAAAAACACTACTCGTAAATAATTTTAAATTTTTGGGGGGGCAAATGGAACTTTCATACCAAATCAGCTATGGAACTATACCATTTTAGGATATTTATTCCCTCTAACATCATTATACAATTGATTTGCAATATATTAAGTGACCTGGTAAAATATGTGCAATCATCAATTGTAAGATATTCTTGGCTTGTGGGTGTGTGTCCGCACACTTTTTTCTTGATGATAAATGTGGTTAATTGTTGAAAATCCAACATGTGCATAAGGTACTTACAGTCACAAGTTGATGAGCATGATTACCTTTAAATAAATTCAACATTTATACTAAGTTTAAAACTTAAAATTATTTTTGGTCGACCTCAATTAAATAGATTAGCTACGTTATCCATTGAAAAAACATTATAGATAATCTTCATTAGACAAACTTAATTAGTTATTTGGTAGTTAAATTGCAAGAAGATGTTTATGGAATTGTAGATATATATATATGTGTGTGTGTGTGTGTGTGTGTGTGTGGATTGTAACAGTGTAGCCCTGTAATAGTGTTCTAATTTTGTGTTCCATTTTAAGTTTGAGCATCCATTGCCTTTGACAGTTGGGTTGGGTATAGTCCGGGCCAACTATTTTTGTAACGATATTCATTTATTGGGTATAGTCCAGGCCTGCTAGTATAGGGGCCAACTCCAAAGGAATCCACCACACTTGAGGCCTGTGGTAGTTGATCTGATCACCTGATTCCTTTATTTATACCTTGCACATGCATATGCATTGCATTGCAGGTCCAAATGTTTTGATATTCATTAAAATGTTTAACTCATGTTCCTTCATTGAAAAAATTTTGTTGTTTTCTATAATCAAAATTATTTGGTCAACAAATACAGTTTTTGTAAAGCTTTAACAAACACTAAAGTAAATCAATTAGATGTGGGTAGAGATGTGACTAAACACTATGAATCAAACTTAGGTTGCTTACAAAAGAAATATTAAACAAGTCTCTAGTACATTTGATCCCACATTAATGATGCTCTCAAGTCCTATATATATATACCCTTGCTCTGTTGACAGAAACTGACTTACACCTAAAAGATGTAGTTTAGCGGATTACTAGGTGTGTAGAGCTGTGTATCAAGGGGAAACACATGAGATTTCCCAATCCACACAATGAATATAGTTCCTGATATTTTCATTCTCTACTCTTCTTAGTAACAAATTTGTGTTTCAACCTTCCTCAAAATTTGCTTAAATCTGTGGTAACCAAACCAATGACATGAAATCATACAGCAAATTTAAAGGACAGAGGAGTGCAAAAAGATTTCATCTAGCAAATTCAGAGGATTTCAAGAATGAATGAAACGATTTCATCCAGCAAAATCAGGTAGTTTCTATTTTCCACTTCATTATGTCACAATTCATTCAACCAATACATTTGATTACAAATCACTGAACACAAGGAGCTCGGAGTAATCTATTCAACACCAATACAGAACTAATTTAACTTGAGACTAGTCCCACACGCTACTGCTAAGGATCAAACATGAAAATGTTTTTAGGTAGAATTAGATGCAGTTTTGAGTCCACAATATTATAAACCTCTTTGCTCGCTTACTTTCTGGTATTCTTATCTACCAGAAGATGAAGTATGGAAAATCATTACTTAGATCTGCATATTTCAATTTGGTAAATTTTGATTGAACAAACACATGAATCTATACATGTATACAAAACCATGCACGAAACCGAGGGCTAAAATTACGATATCAAATCGATGATACGGATACGTACATGTATGTATATACATATATATGTGGTACCTGATTGGAATCGCTCCGCAGAGTCGCCGGGAAATCGAAGAATCGAGGAGAGATGAGGCGGCAATGAAGAGATCCAGCCCTGGAGAGAAATGCTGTGAGACAATGATGAACCACAGATCAGAATCCGTAGAGAAGAACCATTGAGTTCATATATCGAATCCGTAGAGAGTGAGTGATGAGAAGAAATTAGGGATTTGAAACCTGACATATGAAGAAATTAGGGATTTGACAGAGAGGGAGAGAGGGAGAGAGTGGGTACGAAACTGATGCTTTTTTTTGTTTTTGTTTTTGATACTCCCGATTAATATATAAAATACAATAACATATGATTTGGATTTATTAGGGACTAATTAAAATTGTAGAAAAAAGTGATTGATCTTTTTACAATCAAGTAAATTTGTCTAGAAAAGGTAATAGTATGATTAAATATATATATATTTTTTAAATTTTTTCATTTTGTTCTTAAAAGTATAATTTTTACAGATAAATTATTTTTGTCTCTAAAAATTTATTTTTAAAACTTTAATTTGTTGTAGTGTTTGTCCATCTCCTTCTCACTCATTGTTATGCCGGTTGGGGTTTGGGTTTGAGATTTGGGGTATGATGGAGAGAGAGAGTGAGGGTTTTGAAGAGTTTTTGCAAGAGAGAGAGAGAGAGGAGGGGTTGGGATTTGGGATTTGTTAGTTGATGAATATTGTTTGGTGTTTTTTGTAAGATGACATTGTTGTAATGGTAACAGTGGTTAATATTTTCTTATTAAAATGGAATGACAACAATGGTATTGTAATGACCTTTTATTATTAGAATGAAATGGTAACAATGGTCGTTGATTTTGTAAATGATATTTTCTTATTACAATGGAATGGTAACCATGGTCGATAACATTCAATCCACATTGCAAAATATAATACATCAACATAAAAAACACATTCATTAATTTCTTCCATAATTGTAACATTGTCCAATGCATACATGTGTCATGCGACATCAACAACATCAAAAGTCTCTCGAGTAGCTACATTATCATGAATAATGTCCTTGAAATGTTAAATGCGATGCACATATGCATCATCCTAGTCGACAGCGCAAGGGTGACGGTATTTTCGCCAATTAGTGGCTATAGGAGGAACTGGATGGCCTGACTGCAACAAAACCTGCACCAAATATCAATTGAGTTAGTGGTCATACCTCATAACTTCTTCTACATGCATAAACGCAATTGATAAGTTTCTGTTATACCTGCACGAAATGATTTCCGTTGACAAACCCAATGGCAATCTCACGTCTATCAAGTTGAGGTACTGGCACGGTTCTAAGAGGTAAAAAGGTGAGACATTGCTGTAAAGACAAGTGGTATAACACAAGATTGTAGCACGATGCAACAAGATGGCCCATGTCTGGCATAGTCATCCAATGTGAGTATCCAGGACTGTCTTCAAAGTATGACAATATGCTTGTCAATTCTTCAAACCTTTCACAGGACCCATAAAGTGTAATGTATTCCTCTTTGTGTGTGTGCAGCTCACCCAATAGGTCACGCCTAACCTGAGCCCAATCATCTTCTGTATGACCAATTGAAGCAGCTATAGCCCTGAAACCACAATTCCCATCTGCAGCTACATCAGATTCAGACCCCGATGAGGCTATACAGTGCGCTGCAAGAGCTTATTTATTGTTTCTGTTGGGATGTACACTCTTCAGTGACAAGAGTGGCGGCAGGATTCCTGTTGTTTACCTTGGCTTATTGATGGATTTGGGATCCATTCATACTTACGCCTGGGGTGCTGCTGCATTAGCATTTTTATATCGACAGTTGGGGTTTGCTAGCCGGTCTGGGGTTAAGCAGATGGGTGGTTATATGACTCTTTTGGAGGCGTGGATTTATGAGCACTTCCGAGCATTCCGACCTCATCAGAACATGGGCTACACTGAAGACATGCCACATGTGTACCATTGGGCATCTAGGAGAGAGGCGGGTTCCTCCATTGACCATTTGAAATCTTTTCGAGCCGAGCTTGACAGTTTAGTAGCTACTGATGTAAGTTTACTCATCATGCGATAATTTTAACACTTCTATTTATCTTACCCTTTATGTACTTTAATGCAAAAACACTTTACGTTTACAGGTTATTTGGGATCCATACCACAGCTGCAGAGACCGGCATCCATGTAACCCGGTTACGTTCTACCATGGATGCTTAAAGTGCTTAGACGTTGTCGAACCCTATCATCCAGATAGAGTTTTGAGGCAGTTTGGCAGGGTTCAAACCATCCCAGATGCACCGCTAGCTCCCAGTCGTGGTGCGCGAGGCAACATATCTGCACGATATACAGTCATGTATAAATACTTGGATAGGATCTGGGAGGCTTGGGATAACCACGTGTTGTCTGCGCAATGGAGGAGCACACCAGTTCGTCAGCCTTGGCAATGTGTACCGGGTTACATGGATTGGTATAAGAATATCACGCACCTATATGTCGAGCACACTGATGAACCACGTGTCCATGACCATCAGGATTTCAGCGAACATGCGGATGTAATCTATTATCCTCTCTGATGCACATGTAACTTACTTTTTTTTTATTTTGATATGTTCCCTAAAATGTGATATTCTTTTCAAATGCAGCGTATTGCACTTGCACTGCAGATTTCACATCCTATTATTGACGCTGGTTATGAGGAGGGGATTCGCCATCCTTATCGACTTTACCAGGCTATCGAGAGTATGACACATGTTCTTGAAGGTCAGCACATTGACGAAGCTGGACCTAGTTCTGCTGGACCTAGTTCTGCTGGAGGTCGCTTTCCATCTTCGACGTTGACATACAGTCGTAGGCCTCGGCGTAGGCATACAGCTGATTCGTGACATGTTATGTTGTTACATGTTATTTTGTTAGTTGATGAATATTGTTTGGTGTTTTTTGTAAGATGACATTGTTGTAATGGTAACAGTGGTTAATATTTTCTTATTAGAATGGAATGACAACAATGGTATTGTAATGACATTGTAATGACATTTTATTATTAGAATGAAATGGTAACAATGGTCGTTGATTTTGTAAATGATATTTTCTTATTACAATGGAATGGTAACCATGGTCGATAACATTCAATCCACATTGCAAAACATAACACATCAACATAAAAAACACATTCATTAATTTCTTCCATAATTGTAACATTGTCAAATGCATACATGTGTCATGCGACATCAACAACATCAAAAGTCTCTCGAGTAGCTACATTATCATGAATAATGTCCTTGAAATGTTGAATGCGACGCACATATGCATCATCCCAGTCCACAGCGCAAGGGTGACGGTATTTTCTCCAATTAGTGGCAATAGGAGGAACTGGATGGCCTGGATGCAACAAAACCTGCACCAAATATCAATTGACTTAGTGGTCATACCTCATAACTTCTTCTACATGCATAAACGCAATTGATAAGTTTCTGTTATACCTGCACGAAATGATTTCCGTTGACAAACCCAATGGCAATCTCACGTCTATCAAGTTGAGGTACTGGCACGGTTCTAAGAGGTAAAAAGGTGAGACATTGCTGTAAAGACAAGTGGTATAACACAAGATTGTAGCACGATGCAACAAGATGGCCCATGTCTGGCATAATCATCCAATATGAGTATCCAGGACTGTCTTCAAAGTATGACAATATGCTTGTCAATTCTTCAAACCTTTCATACGACCCATAAAGTGTAATGTATTCCTCTTTGTGTGTGTGCAGCTCACCCAATAGGTCACGCCTAACCTGAGCCCAATCATCTTCTGTATGACCAATTGAAGCAGCTATAGCCCTGAAACCACAATTCCCATCTTTTTTCTTCTGTTTTTTTTTTTATTGTATTTTAATACTATATATGTAATATACTGAATTTTTTGGGATTTTGTAATTGAATTTTTTTGTACTCTTGCCTTTTTGAAATTTTGAAATTCTTTTTTTTTCCCACTTGTATTTGAGCTTGGATCCTTTATCTAAAAATTAGACAAATATTTATATAAGAATGATGCATTGAAAATTATTTTATTGGAGTTTCATTATGTCTATGAGCAAAATATATATCATGCATACGAGATGATACACCATGGTTTTCAATACCAAACATATGAGAAGGTATGTTTCTATGGATGCTAAATCACATATGAGGATTTCATGGAATGTATGGAATTTGTTGTGGAATTTTTTAAGCATACGAGCAAAATATATCTGTGCATATGAGATGATATTTCATTTTTGCAATATCAAATTATGAGAAGGTATTTGTCTGTATTGGAGAACAAATCATATGAGGATTCCATTTGAGATATCTGAATAAAAATCAGACATGCAAATAGATATCTTTTTGAATTATTTTCTTGAAAATTGTATATTGAAATTCCATTATGCGTACGAGCAAACTGATACTGCCATTATGAGATGATATATCATGCTTGCAATACCCACTACTCAAAAATAGTTAAAGATCACACTTTGACCAAAAAAAAAAAAAAAAGATATCACTTTATTGGAAGTGTGATCTTTAACTATTTTTGTTAGTAGTGGGTATTGCAAGCATGATATATCATCTCATATGCATGATTATAGTTTGCTCGTACGCATAATGGAATTTCAATATACAATTTTCAAGAAAAATAATTCAAAAAGATATCTATTTGCATGCTCTGATTTTATTCAGATATCTCAAATGGAATCCTCATATGTGATTTGTTCTCCAATACAGACAAATACCTTCTCATATATTTGATATTGCAAAAATGAAATATCATCTCATATGCAAAGATATATTTTGCTCGTATGCTTAATGAAAATTCCAACAACAAATCCATACATTCCATGAAAATCCTCATATGTGATTTAGCATCCATAGAAACAATACCTTCTCATATGTTTGGTATGAAAACATGGTGTATATCTCGTATGCATGATAAATTTGCTCATTAGACATAATGAAACTCCAATAAATAATTTTCATGCATCATTCTTATATAAATATTGTCTAATTTAGATAAAGGATCCAAGCTCAAATACAAGTGGGAAAAAAAAAGAATTCAAAAATTTCAAAAAGCAAAGAGTACAAAAAAATAATCAAAAAAATATCCAAAAAATATGTATATATACATATATATTAATTAAAATACAAAAAAAAAAACAGAAGAAAAAAAGGTCGTATGTCTCAGATTTCGCAACGTGTAGAGCTCGGCGGCAAAGTCAGAAAGCAGACTTCACTTACAGACAGATACACTGCTCGACTCTACCGTCGGCTGCCTCACATCATCTTCATTTTGCAGAGGCCATTAATGACTGTTTCAGCATTTGCAGGCTTCTAAAGGAAATGTATCCCCATTGGCCATCAAAGGGGTATACACAAGTATCAATGCTATTTCCATGATTGTTGCCGCGTACTTCAACTCCTCGTTTTGCCTCAGTTGGCTTACCTCCCGTTGAGCGTCTTGATACATACGCTAGAAGAGGGTAAGTTGTGCAGTCAGCCGTGCACCTCATTTACCCTACCCTGCAACCAGCGTGACAAATTGAATACAACAGTTACGATATCCACACACAACTTCAAGGTATGGGAATTAGCTTCTCAGTATCAGAATGAGCCACCATTAGTTGTTCAACTGACACTGTGGAAAGTTGGAACAAGATGAGGTGACATTATAAGTAGGCTCTGAAGAGCCATTGCTGGGTATCTCTACCATGAATCATTAAGGTTAGAAAAAGAGAAGAAGATGGGAGAAAAACCATGAGAGAGAGAGAGAGAAGTTGTCACAGACTGACGATTTGCAAATTTTGCTTCGTGTCTTCTCACAGGCTTCGATTAAAAAAGAAGATGGAGCAGAGAGAAAAACCAAAGAGGAGAGATCAGGATAAGTGATGGGCGAATCGAGGTGTTGGTTAACATACGCCGTAGATGTTAAAATTGCAAATTCAAAATACGGGCGCTCAACGTTTCTGGAGAAGGAGGAGAAGAAGAAGAGAAGAAAGAGAGGTGTCTGTCGCTTCAATGAGGAAAAAAAAGAAGAAAAAGAAAAATAAAGGAAAAAAAAAAACAAAAAAAATTAAAATATTAAAAAAGAGGGGCGGAAGAAATAAACAAAAAGTAAAAAGGGAAAAAAGGAAAAAAAGAAAGAAAAAAGAAAAGAACAAAATGAGAAAAAATAATAATAATATTCAGTACTCTCGGGCAAAATGTGTCTCACTTTCAATCTTGTATAATTTTGATCAAACAAAAACTATACAAAGAAGGGCATTTGTTGATACCCCATTTGCCCCAAAGTCTCAAGAATTTTGTAGATATAGAAACTCACTATTGGATTCGGAATGCCAAAAGCCTTTGAGTACAAATTTTTGTTAAAACTGAACATGGTTGGGCATAATTTTTCTTTTTCAAACAAATCAAGGAGGAGAACCACGAAATTATGGTGTACTGTGTTGCACCTAATTATTTCCTTGTTTCGTTAAGCAATCTCAACCGTCCAAATCAAGAAGTTCATGTGCCTCAACCATACAATAAAATTCTAAAAGGTTGGAAAAAAAAAAGAAGAAAAAGAAGAAGAATAAGAAGAAAAGAAAAGTCGGTGGACAAATTCTACCAAAATAATTAGCTTTTGACTTCCAATCAAACAACATCATCATCATCACCCATCATTATCATCATATCTTCATCATGCCTTTCTTCAGCCTCTATAAATAGAGCAGCTCAAGAGGGAAAAAGGGGAAGAGAGTGAGAAAGAAAGAGAGGCTCGGGAAGAAATGCAGAATTGAGAGAGTTGGGAAAAAAAAAAGTTCATTTAGAAAAAATTTATGAGAAAAAAATATGCGTTAGCTATTTTGATTTTGTTTAAAACTAAAGGTGGATATTGTTACATTTGTTCACCGTAATGAGCCATATTTATATTATCGTATTTTTACTTCCTTTATTCCATTCAAGTTAATCTATCTTATTTCATTTTTATTCATTTTATCGTACTTGTATCATCATTGTATTATTTATACGTGTGTACATGTCTATCATAATATGTACGTGTATATATTTGGTGGAATTGCCCCGTATATATTACATGTATATAAATTAAAAATAAATAAATAATATTTACCATAATTTGCATATATATATATATTTTGGTGAATTGCCCCTTATACATAATACATGGCATGTATTAAATAAATATTATTTATTATAACATGTGTTTATATATATTTTGTAGATTGTGATTATGATTCTTCGTGATCGTGATCCATGTATGTAGTGTTTGTATATATATATATATATATATATATATGGTAATGTATAGCATATTTCAAGCATATGTTGTTTCAACAGATATATGTAGCATGTTTATATATATGTTCATATATACATATATATATGTGATGTATATATACACCTGTCCCCTGTAATGTTATTCTCTTGTTCGGTTGTCTTCTCTATATATCTATTGTTGTTGTTGATGTGATATGAAAGAAACAAATTCAAAACAATGAGATATATGACAATATATATGTATTTAAAGATAGAATTTCGTTTGATAAAATCAATTGTAATAGTGTCGTGGACGTCCTCAACGTCCCGAGAGGATGAGTCCATTCTGTTCATTTGGCTCACCACAGTTCAGGACTAAAAGTCATGGTCTTGTATCTAATCTCGCAGAGTGTAATGCAAGACCGATGAATCATCAAAGAGTCCAAATCCGGCAAATCATTTTGAAAATAGATTTTTTGAAAGAAGTGCCAAACATGGACTGCTTTGCAGATACAGAGTCGCCACTTAAATATTTTATTTTGAGAAATTTAGGAAATCCTGACTCGTTGCCTAAGGCCAGTGTCTGTCATCACCAAAGTTGCCTTGACTCGGGACTTGGGTACGATTGGGAAGGTCACTTCGTGAGCACCCCCGCTAGCCCGATCAAAGATCGGCCGTCTACTAACCATGATATCAAGTTTTGAAAACATAGGCATTCTTATTCCGCGTTTATTAGCCTAGATTTACTACGTGATGCGCACAGCATACAAGTATAGACTGGGTCGCCTGAATTGGAAACGAAACATCTCATGTTTGTTTTGAAAACGGTTTGCTACTCGCAAGTAGGCTAAAATATGGATTTGCCACTCTCAGGGGGCTTAGAAAACATGATGATTTGCCACTCTCAAGTGGGCTTAAACTCACAATTGATGAATTGTTCCAATCCAAATAACCCAACCTTCACCACAAGGCATTCAGGCAGGAATAGCACATAAGCAAATTAGCCTCATGGTAAGCATGCTATCATGCAGTCACTTACACACATGCGGGATGCTAAAGCATAAACGCTAACCGAGTACTCCAAACCAAAACAGAAACTATTAGAAATCAATGCATGATCCTACTATACAGAAATGCCTAATGCAACACATGCAAAAATGCAACTTACAATAGGCTCGGCTATTCTAAAGAGCATATGATGATACTACAGCTAACACGTATTCAATTGGAATTGAAATACGAATGCCAGTTAGTTATGATACGCCGAGCCCTGGTGCATGCAAGACAGATGAATGATGCAAACATGCAAGCATAAGTACGCTAATTGAAACATGCCCTAATCTAACCATCATAAGCTGGTAAATAAAAGGGAGAAAGACGTGGGTTGGAAGGACATACATCACACGCACGTACACTTATTACAATTGTGCCCTCGCTCGGAGGGTCCGAAAGAATAATACAGTCCGAATAAATAATTAAATATTACAAAACCCTAATTAATTAACAAATTAACTAGGAAAGCGGATAAACTAGCATGCAAGCTTATGGACCGCCTCAGCTCTGTTCCGAATAATGAAAGATGTATGCTTGAGTGTTCCTGGCGCGGAAATCCATTGCGATGCGATGCCCCGATTTGCCTCTGTTTGCAATTAATCTCGGAATGCTATGCAAGGCTTTTGGAAGGCTGTTGATTTCTGATTTGCTGCAACAGAGAGCAAGAAAGGGCACAACAAAGTATTTTCACATATGTATGCATTGACTACTCTTCAGGAGTGTAGTCCTCGATCCTCGTGCCACAATCACGTATCTCGATGCCATGATGGCCGAGGAGTCGAATTGCACGACTCGATGTGATATGAATGCACATGAAAACATAGCAAGACCCTAAACTCCATCATGGGAATCCGGAAGTGTCGGGCGACCGAAATTGAGACAAGTTCCGTCACTCGGAGTACGAAAGTCCCTCGTTTCCCGTGCTTGGGCTAACTCCTATCCCAAAACACAATGCAAATGAGAGGCATAACACAATGCGACTAACATACAAACTAGCATACGCAATGCTATGAAATGGCATGCACAATGCTTGATGTAAACATGGCATATACAATGCTCTAACATGCAACCTAGTATACACAATGCTATGGACCGAAATGGCATACACAATGCACGATGGACTTACACCAACATGAGTGGACCTCAGCCACAACCCACATCAATGGCCATTAGATGAAAATGAGACAACCGAAATGTGTGCACACATGCACGAAAATACCAAGGACCGAACCTAAGGCATGGAATGCCACTCTACAAAGCATGGCAAGGATGAAAGATGGCATAAAATGATACATGATATAGCTCTGAAATGTGATAAAAGATGGTCCAAAACATTGCAAACATGTCACACAATGCAAGCTAGGGGGCCGGGTACCGAAACTAGTGAAGTGCGTTACACTAGAGGTACCAAAGCAATGCACCAGTGGCAAAACCAATCCCAAACAGACCCTAGGCAGTCTGAAACAGTGGGAAAATAACCTTAAAATGATGGCTCGGAATGCAACGAAAATGAAGCTCATTCAATGGTCGGCAAATGGGGTATACAAGTCCGACTCTCAAACGCATTTAAAGCAGATGAAAAAAATGGCAACATGGCATTCAAACAAGCTCTGAAATGTGATGGAATGAATAGGCTCAAAACATGAACACACCTCAGTATATGCATGGAATGGATCTCAAAACTCAAAGCTAAGCAGGACCTGAACTACAAACATGCAAAACTAACATCATTCGACCACAAAACTCAAAAATAGACGAGGCAGTCCAAATAAGCACATTATCAGCTTAAGGCATAGCCAAAATATGCTAGAATCAAGGCCTATAAAGCATGCAAAGAAGCTAGTGAACCATGAGTTGTTACTACACCTATATGAAGCATAACGAGATCTTACTAAACCAGCCAAAAAACAGAAGTATTTCAGCTAAAATATATGCCCAAATAACCATTGAAGCTCAGTCAAACACAAGCAAGAATGATGAGCCCCTTTGGAAAGCCATGCGAGGGTTGTTCTACACAATACATGATAGACAGACAAAGGGCAAAACCACTCTTGAAATAAGTTATGACAGCCCTAAAACTCACCAAAAGGCCCTGAAATTTAGTCTAGGAAGCATGCAATGAAAGGCCCCTTTAAAAGGCTTGAATGGATTGTTTCTACACATGCATCATAGACATAAAATATGGTCAAGAGGCTCCGGACAGAGCTAAGGCAGACCTTCAAACTCACCAAATTGGCCTAAAAAGTGACTTCACAACATGCAAAGTAAGGGGCCCTTTGGAAGGCCAAAAGGGCTAACAAACAAGACAAGGAGAGAGGGGTCACCCCCCTCTGTTTTGGCTCTCAAAAAATACATCTAAGCCACTAAAAAATTCACTAGATTTC